TATTTGAAAAGTGCTCGTCGAGACCTTTCATTTGATACCCCACATGCATTTTTACCATATGACGTCATCAAGGGTCCTTTTGACCCGCCGTCCTATATATAGTGCGGCACAAGCACTACATGTAATTGCCTCGCAAATATTGGTGCATTTATTTGATGTAAGTCTTGTAACTTTTGAAGCGTTTGTTCAAAATAAATGAAATATTCAAGGAATTTGTCGTGAAGTTAAATTGTCTATAATGTTTTCTAACACAACAAAATCATACAGAAACTCTATATACGTGAAAATCGTTATCAACGATAGATATTTAATCCGAGTGTATTTATTGATTATAAATATCAAACCATTCGGTTAGTATAATTGTCGTGTAAGACAAAATAGTTCAAAAATAAATAGTGTATAATGTCTTATACTAGTAAAATAAATCTTGCCAGTCATAATTAAAATTACAATTTTCGGCGTTTCCTAAAATATTTGCACTTTAATTTACCTCCGTCTGTTTTATTCGCGTGACTTCTAATTTTGCTAAATGAACTTGCTGCGCCGCCCTTGATTAATTATATTTAAACCCAACAAAAAAATAAATAAAACAGACTTATGTTTTTTATCATAAAAACAGTAGTTTATAAATCAGAAAATGTTTTTCTCTGTGTTTTTTCGCAATTATCAAAATGAAAATCTTGACTAAGCATTCATTCAACTCACTCACCTGATGGCGAATGTTATTATAATTAATCATTTCGATGGACGAAGAAAAATAGTTTTGGACAAAAATGCAGACGAATGGCGGAAAGTGCATTCAACTTTTTACATATTATAATAGACACACACGTGGAAATATAAATGTGAATATATTTATACATACATATGGATAAACTTATAATCGGTTCAGTAGTTTAGAAGTCTTTTCGGGACAAAGATCGTGAATGCACTTCATATATAATAGTTACTAATTATTATGATTTTCAAATTTCTAAACTATTTTTTTCCCACAAAAATGATTTATTGAGCTTTTCTTCTCCAGGAATTCTTTATAACAAAGAAAAGACTTTTAGTTTACATTTATACAATTATTTAAAATTTAATTAATTCAAAATTGTTATATAGTTTACATAAAATAAGATATTTCAAAGTTTTGAAACTCCATTTCTTAAACTTTCAAGAATAAAAAAAATATAAAAATTAAAAAATCAATTTTGTTACAAAAATATTTCAAATTTTCAATTAGATAAATAAAGTTATAATTTAATATAGATGTGATTTTTTATTTTTCAATCATATTTTTTTTAAATCAAAATTCAGCACTTTGTTATTTATCATATTTTTTATCTTTGCTTATTATAAAGAATTACTAATACTTTATTATGATATACACATTTGTATAGTACATACAAAATTTGCATTTTAATTGTAACTAATTTTTAATAATTAAAAAGTACCTTTTTTATCGAGATGACTTTGGCTCAGTGAAAAGAACCTTCATCTTGCAACTACATATTTTTATTCTTGCTTCAGACAGCTTGATATCATGCAGTAACCATTTGTGTTTTCAAATTTTAGTAGCCATTTGTGTTTTAAAATTTTAGATTGATGTCACTACTGCTTGACATCAGATTGTCCGAGGCTGTTATTTCTGATTCGAGCCTCTCGTTTAGAAGAGCTTTTTAAAATTGAATGCAGTTTTCAGACAGTTGGAAAAGTAATCCATTTCGAGTGTTTTTCTGTATTTCTTTTTATTATAATAGAGAGAGAATGAAAAATAGGAAGATAATTAAATTCTTCCACATATTCGTATAATAAGATCATTCATCATAACTGTTGAGGTTTTTTGTCTGTCTTTTTTTAAATGAAGATAAAAGTTTGTATTCCAATTTAAGGGAATGCATTTCGATTTAATTTGTATATATGTATATATGTATATATATACATATATACATATGTATATATATATATATATATATATATATTATATTTAATAATGGAATCCAAACACACTTTGCTGTGGTTTATTATTTACAAACCAAAATTTTAACTTCGATACCAATATTATATTAATTAAACAAACTTTTTAAACATATGTGTATACTACTATTAAATTTTAACCTGTCAAAGATAAAAAGTGAATAATATAACAAATAATTAAAATTTTTATTCCTGACAAAAAAGCATCCGATTTGATTTCCATGAAACATCATTTTTAATTACATATTCTCCCGAAAATGATAATTTTGGCAATAATTCTAATTTGGTAATTTTATGTTTTGTTGACTTCCATTTACTAATATACATTACCTTAATTGTCAGCTTTTAAAGTCGTTCTAAATCGTTTGTCAATTATTAGAAAAACTGTGTTGTGTGTGAACGGTTGCACAGATTTCAAAAATTTCAAATTTGATGGGACTCTATAAAGGGTTAGGTCTTCTATCGGTTAATTGAATTTGGTTTTGCTTTTTTTTAATAATTAGCTAATGAGTGCAAAATGTTTTTTCAACGTGTTCGCCAAAAAACCTTTTGAATGATTCGAAACTTTGAAATATTTGATTCGGGGATAGTTTTTATTATAAATCGACCTCTGTTTGTTTTTTCATAATCACTTCTGCTGTACCGATATTAATACAGCTTGACATCAGATAGTTCGAGTCTGGAATTTTTTTGAAATATTTTTCGCCACGTTAAGGTTTATAGAAATATAAAAATAATTATAGCTGTCCAAAGTATAGTTTAATCACAAAAGTTCATAAGGATTGAAATAATGTTTCGAGCTCTTAGGACATACACTTTGTATGTTCTAATACTTAAAGACTCTATGAAGTCAGTAGAGTCCTTTTTTGTTATAAGTCTAAAGTTTGCAAGTCAGTAGAAACCTTTTTTGTTTCAAACCTATATAAAATTTGCTCTTCAGTAGAGGCATTTTTTTATTCAAGTCTGGAGCTCGCTTGTTAGTAGAATTCATTTTTTCAAATCTGAAGTTTACTTCTCTGTAGAGTCCCTTTCATTTTCTGTCGTTTTGAATCGATTATATTTATTTTTTAGTATGCGTATTTTATATTTCTTTTAGTGCATTGCATTTTTCATTGTCCAGTGGTCTATTTATATATTGAACTTCAAATGACAGGCCAGGAAAGGAGTGAATCGCCTCGCCCTTGTATGTGAATTTTAACACCTGTTCACACGTCGAGCGTTACCTGTGCGAATATTATATAAGCATCAGGGAACAAACGCATAGTGCATTGCAACTTTCTGATTTCCATTGTGCGACGTTTAATTCCTCTTTGATATAATTATTAAACAGGATCGAACTCTATGAAATATTTAGTAACATTTCCTGTATAACACATTCTTGCGATTTTTTGACCGGAGGTATTTTGATTTTGATTTTGATTCAAAAAAACAAATGATACTAGAGCTTTATCTTTAAAAGTTGGTCTATAAGTTCTGACTGATTCCTACTAAATGAACTGAGAAAAAGTGTTGAATTGCGTGCAACAAATGCCAAATTACTTTAAATGCCCAACAATGTAAATAAAATAACTTTTTCATTTAACTTATAAAATTATTCTAACGCCTTATTTACAAAAAAATATTATGCGACTGATAATAAATATTAACAAAAAAAATAATTTAACTATAATAGCAATAATAATGATAACGATTTTTAACACCATTGTTCGCCTCTGTCCAATTTGCGAGTAAATACCTTTGGAATATGTTAAGGGCCTTTCGACACGCGATAATTTGTCTTTTGAATTCCGAACAAAGACTTTTCTATCTATTCTTCTGTCTATTCAGTTTATTATGTCTATTTGTACCTTCTGTTGGAATATTAAATATTCGTACAGAGTAGCAAAGTCATTATTATTGTTTGCGCATTATTATATAAAAGAAACCAATGTAAAATTGAGTTGTGGTAAATTATTTACACATATGCCATACTTGATACTACTTGCCTCAAGACAATACATCTAGTTAAATTTAGAGCTTTGTTGTAAAGTAAGTTTTTTTTATTTCTTTTTAATTTTATAATCTGTCTTAAAAATAAATAAATAGACATTCAGTAATTTTGATCCGTTATATATGTTTTAACCACTAATTCTAAAAGGTTACTCAGTAGTGAATCTTTTCATTCAACGTTAAATCGATGACTTTGCAACTATAACAAAATATATTATCTTTCAGGTAACTTATATCATTTAGATACACAAATTTTCGAACTGATGCTCTAATATTTCTTTTCATGTAAATGATAAAAAATAAGGTATAAAAATTTAAAAATTTAAAAAATTTAAAATTTTATGAATATTTTTTTTTTAAAAACTACAAATGGTGAAATACAAATTTGTAGATTATCTTATTAGCTTTTGTTTGATTTATAACAATATATATATTATTTATATCAATTTACTAAACTACATCGTTAAATACAAAAAAGTGTCTGATTAGAACAGCAACTTGCCTCAAGGAAAATCTCGAACACTATTTTGCATGTGACATATCATTGAAAAGGGCTTGATGAGAGGATTGCGAATTTCGTATTTGTTTTTGTTTAAACTATATCGACCAAGAGTTTATGCTGAGAATGTTACTGTATTAAGTATAATGTGCAACTTGCCAATAGGCAAAACGCGAAGAAAATTCTGCATGCGATATATCAATGAAAATGGCTCGAAGAGAGGAATACAAAGTTAATATTCGTTTTTATTAATACAATAAATTATTGGAAAAAAAAATCTGTCTTGTAGTAATAGTAATCTGTCTTGTAATAAAATTTTGTGTCATTCGATTCAGAATGGCTTGAAACGTCGAGAAAACATAAAATTAGCGAATCGGATTTTTTGATAAAAACTTGCATATCGATTATAAGTTTGAATAAATATTTAATATTACCAATAATAATAAACAACCAATGCACTCATTGCAAATGCTACTTTAAGACAAAGGTCATGATAAAAACAGAAATGCTATCAGTTCATGTTTTCTCTAAATTAGTGTTTAATAAAACGCATAAGTGTATGTATCAAAATGAGAAATAAAATCATATATTTTATTTTCAGTAAGTACATTATATATTAGAGTATGAACTGTACTTTTATTTAAATCAATACAATAATTATTTTTAGTACTAGTAGTGCTTGTGCCAAACCGCCTAGACTTTGTGCAAACACACCCTGTGCAAGAATTAGATAACAAATCTCCAGAAAACATATCACAACCACCAAGTGAAGCAAAGGAACCAAACATTATTCTAAAAGAACCATTATTCAAAGTTAATTTACTTTTGAAGAATTATGATAAGTTTGCCAATAGGCCGAAAAGATTCGTATCTGCCGGATTTATGAATATGGGCATATATATGGGCATGTATTTGGGTGATGATTTTAAACCATTTCCTGTTCACGAGGCTTTAGCAAGTAAACGGGCAAAACAAATGTTAGGCACTATGATTGGAGGTGCAATAGCTGGCGGTACTGGAGGTCCCATCGGAATCGCATTAGGCGCCGCCGGAGGTGCCGTCGGTTATGGAATTAGTGACATGGCTTCAAAATAAGCAAATTGCTAGAACTTCCCTACCAGTAATAAATATTCTAGCAAAAAAATATCAATGAATATTGAACATTGATTATAACAATTGTTTTAAACATTTTCAAATAGATAATTATAATCGTTATATATTCTAACGTTCATGAAATATACAGTAAGTATCATATGGCTAAAAACATTGAGAAAGTTTACATTAGCAGGATGTGCCGAATAAATCCATCTGAGGATATATTTCTTACGATTAGAATAGCGCATTTGTAATATGTACTAATTTTCAAATCAAACTGAAATTTTTGAAATATAAAACTTTTTATATTTTTTAAAATTTTGAATTTTTTTTTTCAGTTTTTCAATTCGGAGTTTTTTGCTTGAATAAGTAAACTTTAAAAATTAAAAATCTTGATACACACATACATCAATTTTTTTAAGGTATGCCGAAATTTCCGGAAACCTCAGATATATAAAAACTTATATTTTTTTTGCGATTAAGCTATAACTTTTCCTTTAGGAAGTGAATATTAACACTTTTTACTATTA